CTTTATGATGTTCCAAAGAATATGTGATAGCCTTTCCCCTCTCTTCCTTTTAAATAAATCAAGTTTTACACAGGGAGATCATTTTTAGATGGGAGATGTGTGCTGGTAATCCAAGGTACACATTGCACCTCCACCTGGGAGCCCCCAGGCTACTGGCCCTCTGAGATCTCCTCCTTCACCCAGAGCAACAGTCACATTCGCTCTGGACTTGCAGTCTACACTCACCATAAGAAATCTGCTTCAGAAGTTCACTGAAGCTATGCCTGGCAAAGCAGAATTTCTAGAATAGGCTTTGTTCTGTATACGGTAGCTTGGAGGCTTTGGGCTCTTTTCTGGAAACATACCTATTACACATGCCTTGTTTTTTAAAGAAGGCTGCATGGTTCACAGCTGGAGAAAGCATGGTTTAGAGTTGTGTGATTTATCTTTTGGACTAGAGGTATGATATTAGATGGCTTGCCAGCATCCTTCATATCTGCATTTGGATGTGACAGAAATAGCAAAACTCATGAGGGGGGTCATCAGCTGCTTCCTTGGTCATGTCAGGTGCCCTGAGGGCCAGCAGTAGAGGCAATCATTCCCCAAGGGCGCTCCACTGTCCCAAAGCCTCTGAGCCTCTGCGATCCTCACTGTGTGATCAGCTGCCAAAGGCATTGCCAGGGCAGTCCTGAGAAGGTGAGGAATTGTACTGGTTAGGGTAAAATTTCAAGGGCTCTTGAGCCCTCATGTTGGTGACAGGAGATCACGAGTAGCCAGAGTGCTGGAAGCGTTTCTGGAAAGGCCTAAGATTAAAATTAAGTGTCTCAAAGTTCCTGAATTATCTTGACCCTAGTTAGAGGTGAGTGACCAAAATGAAAGGACCATGTTATTTCAGGAAAGTAACCTAAACTGTCACTTTGTAGTATCTCTGTGTACCTGTCCTTGCTCTCTGTATTTCAATGACATTTCTAGGGTTAAAAACAATTTTTTTGCAACATGAAGTATCTTTTCGGACACCGTCCCAATACTCCGTCATTATGCTTTTTGATGAGGCTCAGGTTTTGCCTCTTCTCCCTCAAATTTCCCATACAAGTGAGTAACCTAATTGGAAGGCATCTATGAAACCACTTGGTGTGTCATCATCGAGCTATGGCTCCAAGCACTGGACATCGCCCACCTCCCTGTAACTCACCCTGCTCCTCTAGAACAGAGAATGTGGTATCTGTTCCTTCTGCGCAGCAAATGGCATCACTAGCGACGGAAGGTTGGACAGAGGTATGGCACACTACATAGCTGTTGCCCGTCCTACCTCCAAGATAAGTTTGAAAACTATTATGACTGGGTATTTGACCAGTCAGAAGATGAAATAAACATAGACCCTAACCTCAAGGTATTCTCAAAAACAGAGACATCTATATGCAATAATTACCCTGCCTTGGACATTTTAACACATGAAATATCATTTTATAGTTAGCTAGCTTTTCTTTTCTACTTCACCATTCTGTCCCCACTCTATGACACAAGGTATTTTCTCAAAACTCTATTTGTTGAACTGATGTTAATATAGGGCACAAAGTTTGATTTGTAAGTTTTATCATCTATGTATGATGGGGAAGGGAAGCAGAGGCTGGTGATTAAGGCATTTTTAAGGTTTACAAGCAGCAGAAGATGGCCCTTTAAAGAGACTAGTGGTGTTTGTGTTCAGTTTTTCATTTTACCAGTATATTTGAGAAGTACATAATGGTCACATTTGTCACAGGGATTCTGTACCTGCACATGACTCGTATCCTGATTCTCTTTCTCCCATTCCCCTCCCCTCTCTTCAACCCCTTTCCCTTATTTACAAATCTTTGTTTTCATTTTTTCTTGTTCGTCCCTTTTCCATTTTAATATTTTCTTCATTGTTCAAGTATGATCAGGAATTTGTCAGAGAATGTAAGAGAACATTCCATCCTCGAGTCAGGAAATGATGTGGAAAAGCAGAGGCTTCCAAGGAACAACGGGTACAGGTGTCTTGGGTGCTACAATGACATGTAAAAGGCTAAGTGCACAGCTACAATTCCCCCTGAATGTTATCACTATGATCATCTAAAATGCACCAAATTTAAAAAATGAATAGCCCCCAAAGTACAAGCTTTATATATTATACATCTATTGCATAATATATAGAAATACAGTACAATGAACATATAGTATAGAGCAGTCTTAAAATGTTTTTTTTTTCGGCTGATTAATAGGACATTTTTAATAATTAATACTTTGCACATTGTTATCTTCTCAGCAGTCATCCACAGCACAAGCAGCCAGGACGTCCCATCAAAACACTACTACTACAAATCCTCTCACTGAACCAAGCAAATGCAGCCATACATCTAGCCTAACTATTCTGTATATACAAATACAAAATGGTCCTTCCTCTGTATCCCGCCTCCCCAGTTCAGTCCTGTCAGAGATGGGTATTCTATTGGCATCTAAATATTATAGGTGCTGGAATTCAGCGAAACAATCCAACACAGTCCAGCAGTTCACAATAGTAGGGGGTTGTCCGTAGAAGTTGTTGACTAGAGCCTTTTACAGCTCAGCATATTAATATGGCTTTACTTTATATAAGCAGTCTTAAAATGGATTTTATCCTTTTTAAAATTAATTTATGAACTTGGTACAGGTGCCTCCTGTTTTCAGCCTCCCCAGTGCTGGGATTACAAGTGCACGCCACCATGCCCAGTCTCAGCGGCCGACTCAGGGCAGTCAGTGGGTGGGGGGAGGGGCATTGAGGCAGGTGGTGCCCAGGATCAAACCCAGGTCCCTTAGCTTGCCTAAGCAGGTGCTTAGTCTGCTGAGCTATCTTACCTGCCCATATCTTTGATATTAAAGCTGAGGAAAACACTCCCATTTAAGAGAATTGAAGATTACTGAAATAAGATTTGTGGAACAGACTGACATAAACATGCCCCATTCTCCTGAATAGTAGTTCTGATATGCTGCTAAAAAAAAAACCACCCAGGACTAGGGGCCGACAAGATAGCTCAGCAGACTAAGTGCTTACTTCAGTAATACAAGGACCAGGGTTTGATACCCGGTCCCACATGCAGCACTGGCCCTGCCCATGGGGTGCTCTGAGCCAGCAATCAAGTCTGGGTGTGGTGGCACAAGCCTGTAATCCCAACACTGAAAACAGGAAGATCACAAGTCTGAGCTGCCCTGTACCAAATATATAAATGGAAAATATTGGGGGAAAAAAAAAAACCAGGATGCACTCTGATAGTAATTTCACAAGCAAAACCAAAATGCCAAAAATCCTGACAAACAAACACAATTTCCTGAACAACTACTCTGTGCTTGCAACAGTCCTCTGAAGTAGCTACTGTACTCATTCTACACTTCAGGAAACAAACTTAAGAGAAGTCAAGTAACTTGCTTACAAATGACAGAGCTGGGACTCGGCCACGAGATTTGTCTGACGCCAGGGCGCCCTTAGCTCACATTCACGTTACCCTAAAATCCTATCAGGCACCTGGCAATGTTCCTTAGCCTCAGGACCATGTCTGTAGCAATAAGACACGCGTGTGTGGCCACAGTCAGAGGAGCTCTGTACCAAGAGCCAAGCAGCCAATATTCTAGCCCCTACACCTTTTCTGTGATTTTAGTTAGTTTAGTCCTTTAGTAGGGTGAGCTAGACATTTCTAAGGTTCTGTATCTATGAAAGACTAAAATGTTTCATTCTGGCAATGCTGCGATACATTGCTCTTCAAAGGATTAGCTATTTTGAAAATGCAGTGAGCTTATTTTTGCTAAGAGCAGAAATGAGTTCCCTTCACTGATACAAGGACAGGTCCTATATATTCTAAAAGAGGATCCCGTCTCAACAACTAATGTAGCTTCACATTTTTATAGCCAATTCATAATTTTTGTTGACACAGAAAGTACTGTATAAGACTTACAAATTAAGAGTATTTTCAAAATTGGCAAATATACAATTCAGAGAGAGAAGGACTAGGACAGATATTTGATCCAGGAGATTAAGCTAAGAAGAATCAAAGAAATACAAAAGTAAAAAAGGAAACACACAATTTTGGACCAGGAAGGACAGAAGTGGGCATAGTGCTCTTATATCCACTGCCATTTATCCAGGAAATGTCACTTCCAATAGCTATATGTAGTGACGAAAGAAAGACATAAGGAGTTATTATTTTAATGAATATTCAAAAAGTCTTACAAAGAACACAACCATATCTAAGTTCAATCACTGTAATATTTATGAAGTTACATTTCACTACCTGATAGAATTTGGGGTTGGTTTAGAAGGCCTAATGGTACACAATAAACTCTATTTTCAGATTAATGTTGTAGCATCCCATTTATGTTCATTTCTTTATTAACCAACTTTTAACAATTAGATCTGTGAACTCTGATTCTGAAGCAAAGAGAAAAGAAGGGAGCCAGATAAGAAAAGCCAAACCACGAGCTAGCTGGAGAGGCTCCCAGAGGGGCCTTCTCTGCACAGACACTAACTGGCACACTTCGCTCTAGCTTTTCAGAGGGCAAGCTTGTGCTCGACTCCTAAGCCTGTACCTTCACTGCTCCTCTCCCAGCTGTTCCTTTCTGGTTCACGCCCCTCCTTTCTGTGTCAGCTTAAATGTTTTCTCTGACAGAGGTTTTCCCTGGTGACACTTCTGCCTCCCAGTGTAGCATCCTGCATGTTCCCAATCACTATCAGAAAGTTGCTCTTTTACTGTTTACCATTGCTGAAGTGCAAATTCTTCAATGAAAGGAGTAACCTATCTTTCGAACCATTATAACCAGGCATCTAAATATATTTACTGAATAAATGGAAAAGTGGCAGAAACCAAGCAATTTTACTTTTCAGAAATACCCTAACGAAATAACAGGTCAAGTTCACCAAGCTACAGATACAGGATATTAATGAGAAACAAGAATTGTCTAAAATGTCTGTCTAAATAAATTTCATTGTAGCATACAAGGAGGCGTTAAAAAGAACATCCAAGACTTTTTTTCTTCTACTGAGTAAAATAAGCGTCTTACCAGTCAGTATGTAGGGAATGATCATGTCACTAGAAAAAGCCAAACAGTGTAAGTTCAGAAGAAAATGACCAAGATTACAACAAGATATTAAACACAATGGTTATCAGTGTACTTTTAACTGGTTCCCACATTATTCTTGCTCAACTTTCCATGGGGTGCAGAAAAACAATAAAACAGAATAGAATATCTAAGTAATAAATATGTCTTGCTTTATGAGAATATAAACTTTGGACAAGAAAAACTCCAGGTGACTATAAAAAGGTGATCCTTTTTTCTTGGCCTATCAGTGGTAGAATGTGGCTTATTTTTATCCTTGTACTCTCGCACACATTCTGGAGTGCATATACTCAAATGCCTACTTTAATCTCTCTAAATAACCCTGCCAGTAAGTTTATTACCACTTTGAAATTGTAGTACTTTGAAGCAGACCACCTTAAATCTCAAAGTGATTACAGGATAAAATGGCTGACATTATTTAAGCCTGAAAATATTCTATATTTAAGACTTGCTCTAAAAAATTCCTTTGGGAATTATTAAATATTTTTAACAGGATAATTATTCCCTGCTCTATGTATAGGCAGGACACATCACATACAATTAGCAGCCTTATCATGTGACACCCTGATTTCATCCCATTCTTTGTATGTGAACCAAGAAAACACCCTAACTGACCTCACGCAGCCGGCTTTCTCACAGCCATCATTACACACTGATGTGGCACCCTCCAATCTGCACTAGCTCCACCTTCACTAGCTTCTCCCATTCTTCTAAATATTCCATATTGTACCAGATATAATTAGCAAGCTGATGGAATACAAGCTGTCTTTTAATTCAAAAATCTTTAAACAATGTGTTTATGTTATTTTATTTAGATTTAATACTTTTATTCCAGTGGAATATTTTTCAAAACATTTGAGTTTTTTAACAGCTGGCCTCATATAAAATATCACACTTGGATAATTAAACCAGATTTAAACTAAAGTTTGCAGTTTGGAATGGTGACAAGCACCTGTAATCCCAGCACTTAGAAAATGGAGGCAGGCAGACTATGAGTTTAAGACCGTCCCGGAGTCCACATCCAGATCCTGGACTGAAAAAGAAACCACCACATTTCTGCGCTGCTGAGCAAGACTCCCCGAGGCGGCCGCGAGCGCCTCAGCCCGCTGTGGTCCAACCTGCGCTTACTCTGTGCTACGGCAGGAACACATGAATCTCCAAAGCTTAAGACACAAAAGCAGTCAGGGGCGGGCGTTGTGTCAGCAGCCGACCAAGGCCCCAGGTTACTCATTACACAGCCGAGCACGGCGGCAGTGCTAATGCCAACAGGCACCAGGATGTTAGGTCTAAAAATTACCACTGAGCTTTATACAAGCAACAACGTATGCTGCCGCTACACTTTCCAGACATGTTCTGCTTCTAGTGCTAAGCAGTCTTTAACATTTTTAATGTTATACAGTGTTAGTTTGGCAAAAGTTTCAAAATAAAGTAGAAATGTATTCCTAATGTCACAGAAATGCACATCCAATTTTGTTTTCAGTAAGAGCCATAGGTACAGATCAGAATTCTTCGCTATATGAAATAATTTACACACAGAGGAATGCTATAATATCACTATCTAAAATAATCACTAAATACAGTTTTTTGCAGAAATAAACAGGCATCAGAAATAAACAGGCAGAGTTTGTTTTCAATATCAAAAACGTATTATGTATGCTTTTCAAACAAATGATACTCCAAAATTATAGGAATAATCTCAGTGAATTCAGTGAATGTGCAATCTAAATCAACCAGTATGCTATAGTACAACCATATTAAGAAACCAATGATCAGAAAATACAACTGTATGAAAGAAATGTATAATCCATAAAATTGTCTTTCAGGCCTTCAGGTAAAATAGTTCCACAGTTTACAGATAAAACCAAGGCAACAAAAATGTGTGCTTGTCTTGAGTAAGTAGATATTCTATGCAGAAGATGTAACGCTTTGTTTGTAGACAGCATGGTATGCATTTCTCAGCAACACATAAGGAAAACAAGATTCCAAAAGATCCATCGTCAGGAATGGTGATTCCTGTACAATCTGCAAAATTCCAAAAATGCATTAAAATGTAAATAATTTCTTTTTTTACTCATTTTGAGAAAAAGATAAAATAGAAATAAAAATGGAAATAACTTCTAATAGGAACATTTATTAACAAGAAGAAAGCCATAATTCCTATGCTGTTCCTATCAGAAATAGAAACAAATTATTTCCATTTACTTTAAAATCTAAAATGTAAAAATGCCAGCAATTCCTACCAAAAATGCTTAAAAATATCACTTTTCAATTAAATCAATTAATGGGAACAAAATGAGCATTTTCATTGCCCTCAATATATACGATATAGAATCTGAATAAGACATACATTTGAAATATAGTCCATACCATGAAACTTAACCAGGGACTCAAAAGTGAGGTAGGAAGCAAAATTAAGCATAAGACTAACCATAAATGGAAAGCTATAAATTCTAGAGTTCAAAAGGCAAAAAAAAAGATTTTAATATAGACCAGAGTAATCATGAAAGACCACTGTAAGAGGTTTGAGTCATCAGGACAGACATAAATTCTGCAGGTGGTGAAGGGAAATGACTCTCCTGAAAGAAGAGCCACATGGTAGAAACAAGTACAGCTGGTTCAGATGCTCGGAGAAAAAACTGACAAGGCAACAGACGCCCAGGCAATTACATTGAACAGGCAGAGCAGAGTCAGAATGTACAAAACTCAGTAACTTGGAAAAGAACTGAGATGATACTTTGGGAAAAATAAGACCCAAAACTGTCTGAAAACCTACTCACAAAAGAATACACGACACAGTAAATGCTTGTCTTTGATTTAATTGTTTTTTTGAGGTTAACCTAATGTAAAAGGCTGATATGATTCTTACTAACATCTTTTTAGAGCAATAGTATTTTTTGGGAGGAAAGGACATAAGACATGAAAGTCACTTCAGCTTGCCAATAAATGGCACTAACAAATCATTGAAACATTTTTGTTATTAATAAAAACTAAAACAAGACTTACCATATCTAGTAGTAAATAAACAGATTCTCTATTTCGTGTGGTAGTTTTATCTGTTTCCTGGCCAATTTTCAGTAGACTGGAGGATGCAAGCTTAAAAACATATACACATATTATAGTGGTTTTTAAATAAAATGCTCATTCATCACTTTGAGTATACTTCCATTTTCAACATATTTTCATCACTGAGTACATGTAAAATATGCAACAATTAAATAACAAAATGAAGTCTGATACCTTACATTCCAGCAGTAATTCAGAGCTATCAAGCTATAAATACAATTAGTCTCATCAGTCTTTTAAGATTAGTATTTTTCCTAAATACCAGATTTTAGAAAAGTCTGTTTCTTTTTTTTTTTTTTTTGTGGAACCGGGGATTGAACTCAGGCCCTTGGGCTTGTCAGGGAAGCACTTATTCCACTGAGCCATCTCCCCTTCCCTGGAAAAATCTGTTTCTTAAAAAGCTTCAAATTACTTTCTCTCTTCCTAGTATCTGAATTAACTATATAATAGCTCCTACCCCCTCACTTCATCCACCTTACCCACAGTAAAATGTGGTCAAGAAATATTAAATGGAAAATTCCAGAAATAATCCACAAGTTTTAAACTGCATGTGAGGAAATCTTAGGCCATCCTGCTCTATCCTACCAGGAACATGCATGAACCATCCCTTTACTCTCTACCTGAATTATTAGACTGACTATCCCAGCAACACTGTGTATGTGTTCAAGTAATCCTTTCCATGATGGCCCCAGAACACATCAGCAGTAAGGTTGCCGATTTGGATATGCCAAAGAGAAGCAGTATGTCCTTTAAAGGTAAAAGTTTTGAGTTCAAGGAAATACAACAAAAAAGCTCCTATGCTGAGAGGGCTAAAATTCTTACTATGGATATTCTCTTCAAAAAATTATGAAGGAAAGAAAAATTTGTGCAACTTTTACTGCGATACCTCAGTGTGAAAGTTATGGCCACAGTGCATGGTAAAGGCTTAAGATGTAAAAGGCATTAATTTTGCGAGTAGAAGGTAAACAAAAATGTGTCCAAGTTAATGGCAACATGTCACCCAGAAAGCACCAAGCCAATATACAAAGACTTCAGCAAACGTTCCTTCAAATTAGTGACAAACCATTTACTGCATGTAAAGGCTAGGTGGCAGATTCAGGAATAGATCTGGACTGAAAGTTATCAAAATTACTGGAGAGACTGCATCTGTGAAAGAAGCAGCTGCTGTCACAGTCTTCAACTGTGATTAAACTAGGATCTCCTGCAGGATGATGCAAAAAAGAATTAACATTCATAAAAGTGCAATGGGGGCACCAGGGTATAAAACATGGAAGGGCAGGCTGACGGATGCTTTGTGGAAGTGCTTCAGGGCACATGACCAAGCCAGTTACAGCGTACAGAACGAAGAACACACATGATCTCAAAAACAGCTGTTCTGGCAACATGATCAGAAAGTATGGGTGACAGTCACCTTGTTTTTATAGTGGTTCTACCAAACGTTCATTCCGGAAGGAAAAAAAGAAACACTTTGAAAAGGCAGAGTTGGAATTTAATGTCCTATTAGTAATAGATAATGTGTGTGGCCAAATGGTCTGTCTGCTATAAAAATCACAATCTAGAGATTGTTATTTTTACCCCCAAATATAACCTCTTTTTCTTCAGCTCCTTGACCAGGGCATTACTGAGTTTGTCAAAGCCACCAACATCTGCATTGTATTTGACTATATTCAATCAGCAACTGACGCACATATACAGCAGTTAATCTGGACATAATGCAGTGCTGGAAATATTTCATTACTGCTGATGTAGTAACATTCATCAAAGCTGCCAAGGAGCGGTAAAAACTAGAAACTGTATAAAGAACTTATGAGTCATTTAAGATTTTAAAAGTCTCTCTAGGGACTGACGAAAAAGTCAGGAAAATCTTTTACACAGCAAGACAAGTTGGTCAAGTAGGATTTGCCAACATGCTTGATGAAGGCAGTATTCAAGTTAAGTGGTAACAAAAAAAGGAACTAGAAGAACTTGTTGAGTCCTACACTGAGGAAGAAAAAGAAGAAAACTGAAGCACAGCCAGCAATGTGGACATGACTGAAACTGGTCATGTCTTAAATTACACAGATTTTTGAGGACAAAATTATGAGACACAATCTTTGGATGGAACACAGCACTAAAGTCACACCTATGGACATCAAAGGATCATGAACTCTGCAGCAACACTTGGTAAGTTAAAAAGGAACAATATTTCTGATTACAATGTTCTTCTACAAGGCTTATGAAACAACAACAACAGTAGCAAGGATCCTGAACCAATGACACAGTCAGGTTTCTGTGATCCAGGATCACCTGACAGATGAGCCTCCTTCTAAGACAGTGCCAGAAGACCAGCAGCACTCTACTGCTGTCACAACGCCCACAGCATTCACCTCACCTAGTCTCCTCCTACGGGAACTATATCATCTCATTTCAACATGGTGAGCATATGTAAAGTACAATAAGGTATTTCAAGAGAGACCACATTGGTGTAACTTATATTACTAGTTATTTTCATTCAATGTGATCACAGGTATGTAGTATAGAAAAACTCAGTATATACGTGTTTTAATATACTGAAATCAATTTATCTATCTGTGTCCATCCATCCATCATCTATATACATACCTATATAACAATCATTCAGTTCTAACTATGGTAAGGGGGACTAATACCTTAGGCCCTAAATAAGACAATTTCACGTTTGAGATACTGTGAGATTAAGACAGTTTCTGAAATGAAAGAAAGTGGAAAGAAAATTAAAAAATTTTTCAATACTGTTTTCCTTGAAGTGGAAACTTCAAGTTATTGATGTCTTTGATTTTTAAACTAAAAAGTATGAATTTTTACAGGCCAACAGGATTCTCAACTGAAAAGAAGTAAATTCTAGAATTCTTTATGCCATGGTGTTTCTTTCTTTTAAGCAAAGCACAGAAATTACACTAATAAAGGATTAAGAACAAACTGCACTGCTATGGAAACTAAGAGCTATATTTTATAAGACTAGATTTACCACAACTGCTTTTCTGGGTATTATGTAGTATTTTTACTATTGAGTCTGTCCCTATTAATAGGTTCTATTCTAAATAAATGGAAATAAATCAAATACATCTTTTAGAAGACACATTCTTTATCTTTGAATCTATTTTCTTTTGATATTTTTTTCCCTTTTAAACTATAGGAGGGCCGGGGAGATGGCTCAGGATTTCAATCCCTGGTTCCGCCAAAAAAAAAAACGACAGGAAAATTTCTAGGGCAGTCGAAACATAGGCTTAGTGCAGAGTTCTAGAAGGCAGGGAGAGAATTATAGTTGAAAGAGAAAAAACTATTCAACTGTTCCTTAATTACACTGGAATTTCACCAGTTCCTGCTTTGAAAAGAAAAAAATTAAAAGAAAAATGAAATTCACATATTTGAGAAAAGAATTTAAAGACCAAAGGCACCCCAAAAATACAATGAAGTAAAAGAAAAGGAAATTTATTTTGTTACATCTCATAGTCATGATTTTCAGTTTCCTTTACAAGATGTTATGAGTTTTATTTGATGATACATACCGCCAGAAATTCTTTAAGACGGTCTTCAATGCTTCCTTTGTGAATTGTAAATAAGGCTGCGGCTATCTGGTTGATGGCTTTAGCCAAACAATGAATGTTGTTGCAGTGCCCTAAGAAAGTACAATAAGGTTATACCAATTCTATGTGACCCCCAAATATTACATAACACATAGAAGGCAATGCTTTAATGATTTCAATTTACACAGTGAAATGATTAGAATAGAGCACAAACTTGTTCCTCCCCTTTCCACTACCCTCCTTCCCTTTCTTCCTGCCTTCCTTGTACCGGGGTTCAAACGTGGGATCTTGTGCTTGCCAGGCAGGCACTTATGTCGCTGACCTATCTCCTTGACCCTCTTTTGTTTTCATGTGGACTAGTTTTTCTTTTTTTAAAAAAAACTGTGTAGCAAGACAGCAACAATTAGTTCTGTATCACATCAAACAGGGACTTTAGAAAATTCCTACCATCTTGGAAATTTGAAATATTGAGCTGAACATTTTATCATTCAGTCCTTAAAAATAACCCTATGACTATGGATATTCCCTCATCATCTTCTACCACATTTACATTCAGGCATGTATGAGCTTACTTACGTATATTTCATATATAAGAAAATCGGGATTTCAAAACAGAGAAGACTACCACAGGTTATACAGCTGCTGAGAGGCAGAATATAAGTCATATTTTATTACAAACAAGGATCATTTACTTAAAGAGAAAAGTATCTCCTATACCACAACAGTGCCCAAACAATTTAATACCACTGTTACCTTCTATAGCAGGACTGTACTGTGACATCACATTACTAGCCAGTGTCGGTAAAGAGACTGCTACAAAGACCATGAGAAGGCAGGCAATTTTATATTCTTCTTCTGGACTAATATTTTCTAAGAGAAAAACATTAAGAATAAAGAGATGAGCTATTTATATTGCACACAAGTCCAGAATTATCCAAAGTAGTGATGGCAAGTTTTTAGAGCTTTAAATGACAACAGTCATAGGTTTCCCCAGCAGTGACTTAAGAGTGTTCTAGGTGCTGCATTTCAAAGGGCTGACCTTAAAATTTTGCAAATGTTCAATATTATATAAAAAGCACAAACTTTACTGTGACTCTAACACACTATTGAAATGTGTCACTTTTTTCAGGTATTATCTGCTATTAAATGGACTATCTCTCATTGGCACACAAATACTGTTCCCTTTTCTGTAAGGATACATGGTATTTTAATCACCAATGATAATATCAGCCCGGACACAGATCTCTGTTCTGGGAGTTTGTGTAACAGCGTAGTTGTTATGCAGATGTGAAGTCTTAAGAGAATGAGGCTAGTAAAACCTATAGTGTTGGTAGATTCATCAGTGAAGAAAATCAAAACTTAAACCTTGAGCCACTCCAACTATATAGACCTATGTGCCCTGGCAACTTTAACAACAGCCCTATATGTTTACTAATGCATTTTACCTGACTTTTGTGAAGAAAGAGCTACTACCAAGGCAGGATCAATCTCACAAGGTAATCCAGCAGCTGATGATAACTCATATACATTCATTGCAACCTGAAAAGATACGATTATAGAGTATAAAACATTCTAACAGATATCTGAGAAAGTTCACTTAGGAAGAAAATACTTATTGGTCAAATCACAAACTACTTCAAAGGCACGAGAGGGCCAGGGAGATAGCTCAGCAGCATAAGCATCTGCCTGGTAAGTGCAAAGTCCTGAGCTTGATCCCAGTTTAAAAAAAAAAAGGTACTGGAGAATTTCTGAAACTTGGATGAAGCAGAAACTACATATGTAATAGAGTGTAACTAACCTGTAACAAAAACTGAGTACTATATGATATGTAACTAGTTATAACTTCATAATGTTAGGCCAAATAAAACTTGTAAACTTTCTGTGACAGATTATAAGAATTATTTTTGTTACTGTTTTTCTCAGAAGTATAAATTTAAAATATGTAGTCAAAAGGGATGAATAAATGACTAAAACAAGATTGGACTAATGTGGAATACAAATATTTTATAAAAAATCACAGTGGTTTAAACACAGTAAATTATTTATTACAATAAATTTAAAGTATTAATTTTAAGAACTTAGAAGTTCTAATGACTAATCACTGTATCACATATGGATCTCAACTACCCAAGATATTCTGATTGCTCAAAACCACACTTAAGACCTATCAACACAATTGTTGCTTCTCATATTGCAGTAAGAAAACCTCAGAAGTAGTCTGTACAGCTTATAATGAATGGAATCATGCCATACGTTATATTCTAGATAAGCATATTTGGGACATATTATTCTACACACAAAGATGGACTCAAAAGGGACCACAAATCTAAATATAAGAGCTAGAACAAAACTCTGAGAGGGAAATACAGGCATAGTTCTTCCTGACACTGAGTTCAGCAATGACTTGTTAGACATCATACCAAAAGCATAAACAAAAAAAGAAAAAACACAAGTCAGACTTCACTGAAATGAAAATTTTTTGTTTCCAAAGACACCACCAAGAAAATGCAAAGACAAGTTAAAGAATCAGAAAAAGGGCTGGTGAGATGGCTCAGTGGTCTAAAGCACCTACTTAGAACAAGCTTAGCAAAGCACAGGGACCGTGGTTCAATCCCCCAGCACCACATGCCA